TCAGCTCTTCACAGCGCAGTCCCTCACAAACTCCAAAAATACAAATTACCTATAAAAATAAAAATACATTCTTAAATACAAATAAAGTGTCATACATATCATCAAGTACGAGATATTTAAGGACATAAACCACACGCGCACACAAATGTATACTCTCATTCTTAAGCTTGATTTGGAAAAATTTATACAAATAATTACCTTCGCAGCCAAGTGACTTTGATCGGGAGCTTCGTTCATGAATTGCTCGATCTCAGCCCATTTGTGAACAAGCGATTGCTTTGGCGTATAGCCCTTGTTATTATTTTTCAACAGCGCTTTCAAGTTCAAAAAATCCTTGATGTTGATTTCGTCCTTGGTCATCAATGCCGTTCTGAGCATTGACCATATGCTCCAAAGAGTCGGAGGCTTATTCTTCGTTTTCAGCTCCGTGAAATAGACTATCAAGTTTTTTTCCTCTGAACTTGAAAGCGCTTTTATATTTGCACTTTTCCACTTTTTATATGCATCGTACACTTGTAAATAACGCCCGCCAAATTTTTTTGGCAGCGTTTCACTTTCAATTATACCGTCAGCTTCATCGTCAAATTTGCGACCGCTTTCATATTCATCACCAAATTCGTCAGATGAAGAAAAGTCGTTATCACACACCGATTTCCTGTTCATTTTGAAGCTGAGCGATTATTTCTAACCAATCAATAAACATTGACGTCAAAGCAGAACCTCTATTAATAATATTTACGGTTGCTTGGTTACCATTTTCTCGTGCAGGGAGAAAAAATATTCTACCGGGGGCGAAAGTCTTAGCAATAGATAAAAGAATAACTTTCGCCATCGTTTTCGATAAAGTACTCCCCAATGAAGATATTTTATAAGTTCTTAGGCAAGATTTTAAAAAGATCTTGTATAAGATCTTATGCAAGAACTTACGTATGATAATCGACCTTGTGTTCTTGAATAAGATCTTGATAAAATAGTAAGACATCTGGTAGCAAGTACTTGTATACGATCTTGATAAAATCGTAAAACTTCATCACAATCATGAAATTAAAATTATATAAGAACTTGTTATTTCAAGTCTAGTAATTAAATCAAAAACTCTCCTAAGAATTTGCTACCTGAAGTCTTCCAGTTTTATCAAGATCTTATATAAGAACTTGCTACCAGATGTCTTAAAATTTTATCAAGATTTTTTGCTTCCTCATAGAGGAAGCTTTGTGATGGGCTCCATTTCGGCTTTTTTATAGAGTAATCGTAGGGTATATTTAATGATATTTCTATATACTAGATCGAATTTCTGACACATGTTGGTATGTATGTGTGTGTGTGTGTGTGTGTGTGTGTGTGTGTGTGTGTGTGTGCGGCTGTATGTCTGTGTAGAGTGATTCCTCGATAACGGTAGCACGTATCGTGACGGGGTTTGGCTTATTTTGTTCGTTATTATGTAAGGATGAAGCCAGAAAATTGTATTTAGCGATAAAGGAAGAAAAAAAAATTTTTTTTCGATTTTTAAAAATTTTTGGAAATTTTTTTATGTCTGTGTAGAGTGATTCCTCGATAACGGTAGCACGTATCGTGACGGGGGAGGGCTTTTTTTGTTCGTTATGATGTAAGGATGAAGCCAGAAAATTGTATTTAGCGATAAACGAAGAAAAAAAATTTTTTTTTCGATTTTTAAAAATTTTTTTTTACGGGAAAAATTTTTTTTGCGGGAAATTGTCGTTTTCTTCCTTTTGCTCCCTCATATAGGAAGTTTTGTGATGGGATACATTTAGGCTTTCGTATATAATTATCGTAGGATATATTTAATGATATTTCTATATACTAGATCGAATTTTTGACACATTTTGGAATGTATGTGGGTGTATGCGGCTGTATGGCTGTGTAGAGTGATTCCTTGATAACGGTAGCACGTATCGTGACGGGGGAGGGCTTATTTTTTTCGTTATGACATAGGGACGAAGCCAGAAAAATTCATTTATCGATAAACGTAACGTTTTTTTTTCTATTTAAGAAAAAAATTTTTTTTTTGCATTGTTTGTTTGAGATACCCGATAAAGCTGAGAGGCGCTTTCGTTTCGCTTTCGTAATTAGAAAGATGATATTAATATTTTCAAATTATTTTTAAGTTAAAAAAAAAGTATGAGGAAGCTACTTGCCAATACATTGGCAGCGGTTTTTTAAATCTTGCCTAAGAACTTATAAAATATTTTTATTGAGGCTGTACAACTTTTACTACATTATAGTTATCGGCAAACTAACAGATTTCATTTGAGAGCTTAATAAAAGTAAAAAATTATGAATCATTAGAGAAAAACCAGCCTGGGAAAACTATGGCAAACGATAAATTCTCTTAGAGTATTGTTGCATTTGATAGATTGAGCTAGTGTTATTAGTATTTTTATTGACCATTAATGAATTCTGAAAAGAAATTACATCAAAAATGAAAGTGATGAATTAATAATGAATAAATAAATAAAATAAAAAAGCTTACAGTATATTGAACGAATGGTCCAATACAATTAAAGACACTTGTAGGAATGAGGATTGACTCTTCGTTTGCAGAAATGAGTGGAAAAGTAGCTTCTTTTGGCATGAAAAAAATCTCCTCACTTTTGTCGTAGGACACATCTCATTCTCATTTGTACAAACGGTTTGTGAGGTAGCTCCTTTCGACATAAGACACATCTCATCCTTATCTTGACTGGTGATAATCTGGTTTGAATAAAAAAGTGCATTTTGATCCTTTTGATAATTTTGATTATCTGTTTAATACTCTGTAATTTGCAAGACGTTGTCAAGGGAGTTCAGATATACCTTGAAAATTGCCTTGGCCTTCCTTATATAATCCACGAGTGGTTTATGAATATTTTACAGATCTTTCATTGATCTGTCATCGCTTCAAATTTCTCGTCGAGGGCTGCCAGATAATCAACGTTCTTGCCGTTAAGCTCCGATCTCAGCGACTCCTAGTCCATGGATGTTTGACTCCTTGCAGAGGATCCACCTTTTTTCTTGCGCGAAGGTGTGGTACTGGAAACAGTAGCCAGCTCATGCGCCTTCAAGTTCACCACACTCAGCTTTGCAACTGACAAGGAGACCTCCTCACCTTCGGGTCACGGATCTTTACCAACATTTTTTTGGGGTCTCCAGGAACTTAATAATAAAGTTCCATATGCTTAGTTTTATTGAATGGGTCTTAGGGCCCATTTTATAAGGGGTTTATCTTTTATTTAAAAATCTTTGAGATTTTCTATATCAAGTAAGGAGCACTTAAACAAAAAAATGCACCGATCAAAAATTTTGAAATTTTTCAAATAATCTGTCTGAATTTTTCCAGAATTTTTTGATTCGTCTACGACCCCTTTTCAGAGACCCTAATTTGATGATTTTCTTGCAAAATTTAGAAACCTCTGAAAAAGGGTAATAAACGATTCAAAAAATTCTGAAAAAATTCAAACAACGTAAGTACTTGCTCGTCTTTTTGCCCGTAATCTCTCTCTCTCTCTGGCTTGCGTCTAGCATAGTAACGGCTCGGCTCAGATCTAGTCGTATGTGTTATGCTGAAACGGCAGTGGCCGATGTAATATCATATTTTTCTAATTCTTATCCAAGGCTCAAGCCTTGTTCATTCACTCATATTAATTATTGTTAAATTGTGTTGTTTATAAACGTTTCTCTGTTAACTGAACACGACTCTTCTCGCCAGAATCATTTGCTGCCCTTTCCCACGTATGAATAAAAACCCTGTTATAAAATGAATTAACAAAGAAATTTGGATTGCAATTAAAAAAGTACTATAATAGTACTATATAAGTACTATTATAGTACTTTTCTTTTTAAATCGAAATCAAAATTTTCTCTAAAAAAATCTAAAATATCGAGTGTGCTTTAGCGAGCGAGGATAAAACACTAGTATATCGTAAGTTTTTTATTGTGTAATATAGCAATTTTTAGAATATCTTAAAAAAAATTTTAAATACATAGTTACAAAAGTAACTCAATATAATAGTAATATTTAGCATGTATTAATATAGTAAAAAAATCCCATAATCCGACTCTTGAGCACTTGTTACGGCGAACATAGCGAAATTTGCTGAAGAAATGTTAGCCATTACTACAGTCTTTTTCTCCGTGCACCCTAAATTCTAAGTCGAAAGTTCCTTTGTAATTTCCTCAAAACTTGATAGATTTCGAGAAAATCAAAGTAGTAAAACGCGAAAATGTATCAATAAGTTCTGCCGAAATCCTCTGAGCCGGCTGTCAAGTTGACAACATCGATGCGCTCGATTTGTAAATAACTGACTTAGAATTTCGCTGTCAAGTTATGTAGGTTACTAAAAAATCACGAAGTATAGTTACCTTATGTAGATTTTAATTTCATATGAGACTCAAATGAGACTCAGATTATACTTACCTGATACTCACCCAATAATTTGGCGTGCTCATATAAGACTCAAGCGAGTCTTATTTGATGTTTTTCACCAAGGTTTAGATAACACTTTTGGCAGATAGTCAGTAGATTTAAGCTCAAATGCCTGGGGTTATACAAAACAACGCAACGAATCTAGATCAATATACCCATTTTAATATGTGCAATATAGAGACACATCAACCAGGGTTAAAGGGAGGACACTCTCATAGTATAACGTGCTCGCGCAGCATTCCAACTTCAATCTACGCGACTCCAACAGTACAATCTATAGAAAAAATAAGAAATAGGTCAAGCTACATAGTAAAGGTTATACCCTATTAATTATATTCGTGGATGCGAAGACGTTCATCTGTTAAGTAGACTAGTTTTGTGGAAAAATAAAAAATTTTGTCTTGTATTACTCATTCTTTCTCCTCAACCTATTATGCAAGAATAACAGTAAAATCTAATTTATTAATTGTTAATAGTATAAAGAACCAGCTATAATAGTTAGATTACAAAAAAGTTACTCAGTTTAATCTCTCATTCTCATAATAATATATTTAATAAAAATAGTACCTTTTAAAAGTGTGTTTTAGCAAGTATCATAGTTGTGGCTCTCAAAGGCATGCTGATGCAAATAAAGGATTTTCTCCGTTTCTTAAAATTATCAAGTGCTGATGCAACAATATGGTTAGCCACTTTTTTATCAGTTAATATTTTTGATATTGAGTACGGATTGATGGTTGGAGCATTAGTATGTTTGGCTAATTTATTAGCTCTTTCAACTCGACCATACACTTGTATACTTGGACGATTACCCGGAACTGAAATTTATCTTGATACAGAGAGATTCAAAAAGGTATGTTCATGATGAATATTTTTTTTAAAACGGCGATCAATTAAGGGGACACATACACCTTAAAATCCTTTTTATTTCATTTAATAGAAAAAAGACCTAAAATAAAAATTGAGATTGGTAAACTTTGAGGTTTCTTACTAACCCTTTAAACAAAATATTCTCATCCCTACATACTAGAAAAGTGTCTCTAAATTTACAGGAGGTCCCCTTGAAACGATCCATTTTTTGAAGAAATTCATAAAAATCCGATTTTCTTGGAGCGCGCCAAATTTTTCCTGCTTTAAAAATCACCTCAGTGGACATTTTTCTTGTTAGTACTTATCTCAAAGAAAAGAAAGAGACCGCGGGCGATGGCGTTGAATTTAAAAATTGACCTCGACCATGTAGTCGGAAATCGGGTAAAATGGGCAAAAAACAGCCAAAATCCCGGCTTTATACGCATTACGTGGTTCCATATCTTAATTCTGAGCTCAGGTGGTGGTTGAAACATGTTTATTAGCCTATAAGTTGATGAATCGCGGAGTTTAGAATCGCAAAACATCATTTTTCCACTTTTGGCGCGTGGTAGAGTGAAAAAAGGCGAATTTGAGCAAAAAACAGCGAAAAAAATATTAATCGTCGTTGAGGAGACAGAAAGAATCATTTGTACGCGCCTGTCTTGTACGAGCTTTCATTTTGTACATGAAACTAACAAAAAATCACTATTACAAATCGATTCTAGAAAAAAGCCTAAAAACGGCCCACCCTAATGCCCAGAATAGTCACTCCCCTCACTGCCAATTTTATTCAGCTGCTATCGACATAAGTGTCGTATGCGCAGAATAGTCGCAGTGAACATCGGTGATTCTATTCAGGAGTTATCGGTTTATTGCCGTATACCCAGAATAATCATCTCCTCCGACAGCAATTGTATTCAGCTGCTATCAACATAAATATTGTATGCGCAGAGTAGTTGTTGTATTCCTACGTGATTATATTCAGGTGCCGTCCGCTCATGCCGTATGCCCAGTAGGGTGGGCCGTTTTTATGCTTTTTTCTAGAATCGATTTGTAATAGTGATTTTCTGTTAGTTTCATGTACAAAATGAAAGCTCGTACAAGGCAGGCGCGTACAAATGATTCTTTCTGTCTCCTCAACGACGATTAATATTTTTTTCGCTGTTTTTTGCTCAAATTCGCCTTTTTTCACTCTACCACGCGCCAAAAGTGGAAAAATGATGTTTTGCGATTCTAAACTCCGCGATTCATCAACTTATAGGCTAATAAACATGTTTCAACCACCACCTGAGCTCAGAATTAAGATATGGAACCACGTAATGCGTATAAAGCCGGGATTTTGGCTGTTTTTTGCCCATTTTACCCGATTTCCGACTACATGGTCGAGGTCAATTTTTAAATTCAACGCCATCGCCCGCGGTCTCTTTCTTTTCTTTGAGATAAGTACTAACAAGAAAAATGTCCACTGAGGTGATTTTTAAAGCAGGAAAAATTTGGCGCGCTCCAAGAAAATCGGATTTTTATGAATTTCTTCAAAAAATGGATCGTTTCAACGTGTACCTGGAGTTTATTTATTGTGGCATCTTAATGCAAAGTGCATCGTCAAAAAGTACTCTTTTCAACGAGAAATTTAAAAAAAAAAGACTCTACGATCATTTTAGCGTCCTGTAGGTCGTTTTGAAGATACCATAGAATGTATACGTAAGATGCCTCACATCGCGTCGATTTTAGCTAAACGTGGCATTTGGTTAATGGTATCTTCAAAACGACCTACAGGACGCTAAAATGATCGTAGAGAACTCTTTTTTTTTTAAATTTCTCGTTGAAAATAGTACTTTTTGACGATGCACTTTGCATTAAGATACCACAATAAATAAACTCCAGGTACACGTCGAAACGATCCATTTTTTTAAGAAATTCATAAAAATCCGATTTTCTTGGAGCGCGCCAAATTTTTCCTGCTTTAAAAATAACCTCAGTGGACATTTTTCTTGTTAGTACTTATCTCAAAGAAAAGAAAGAGACCGCGGGCGATGGCGTTGAATATAAAAATCGACCTCGACCATGTAGTCGAAAATCGGGTAAAATGGGAAAAAAACAGCCAAAATCCCGGCTTTATACGCATTACGTGGTTCCATATCTTAATTCTGAGCTCAGGTGATGGTTGAAATATGTTTATTAGCCTATAAGTTGATGAATCGTGGAGTTTAGAATCGCAAAACATCATTTTTACATTTTTGGTGCGTGGTAGAGTGAAAAAAAGGCGAATTTGAGCAAAAAACAGCGAAAAAAATATTAATCGACGTTGAGGAGATAGAAAGAATCATTTGTACGCGCCTGCCTTGTACGAGCTTTCATTTTGTACATGAAACTAACAGAAAATCACTATTACAAATCGATTCTAGAAAAAAGCATAAAAACGGCCCACCCTACTGGGCATACGGCATGAGCGGACGGCACCTGAATATAATCACGTAGGAATACAACAACTACTCTGCGCATACAATATTTATGTTGATAGCAGCTGAATAAAATTGTTGTAGGAGGTAGAGTGACTATTCTGGGTATACAGCAATAAACTGATAGCTCCTGAATAAAATCACGAGGAATATAACAACTATTCTGCTCATACAATGGTAATGTCGATAGCGGCTGAATACAATTGTTATAGGAAGTAGAGTGATTATTCTGAGCATACAGCAATAAACTGATAGCTCCCAAATAAAACCACGAGGAAATACAATAACTACTCTGCGCATACGACAGTTGTGTCGACAGCAGCTGAATAAAATTATTGCAGAGTGATTATTCTGGGCATATGGCAACAACCAGTAGCTCCTGAATAGAATCACGATATAAGATAACTATTCTGCGCATACGACAATTGTGTCGATAGCAACTGAATAAAGTTATCGGGAGGAATAGTCAGAGTCGTAGGCTGATGGAAAGGTATATTGAATATATATTACTTACTCTTGATTGAGTGATATCCTTTATTTGAAATAATTTAACTGAAGTTCGTCGGAAGGCGAGAGGAACGGATTGTGCGATAAGTCCCACTAGGGCGGAGTAGCTAACTCTAGAGAGCGATGATAGCTACGATGTTACTCGTTCAAGAGTCGAACGAAGACTGATCGAAAAGATGATTTTACTGGGCTAGCTATCGGGTATTTATACGAAAGTCGGGCCGATCGAGCGGGGCCAGCCGACAGATTCGTGGTGGGAGTTGTAGGATGGGAGAATTAAATGTTTAAATGAAGGAGGCTGGAAAAGTATTGTTAATAAAAATATAGGAGTTGTGAATTAGAATGGTAGGGAAAATTACCTTTCCAACGATACCTCATAATACATAATTAGTTACAAAAATGATTATTAATAATAATTTTCATACATTCCGCTATAATGTTACTCAGGAAAATGGTTAATTAATTCATATTTATCAATATTAATATTATATATAATGGTAGCATACGTATACTTAGTTATGCGGAAATTAATAATTGTATAAATATCGTATGAACGAATATTAATTGTAACCGAGTTTGTAACTCAGAATTAACGTTTAATCATACTAAACATATTTGTGCATCCATGTACAAATTGAACTTAATCCATTTTAAACAATTCTAATTACAACTATTTATTTAATCTAAGTTTAAGTTAAATAAAATAGATTCGATAACGCATGATTGACAATAATGATTAGTTCTGTCCAACGCGACGGAAATATAACAAACAATCGCTAAAGGTAAATAATTAATTAACTAAACATTATTTGTTTGATTGATTTACGCTAGGCCATTTTCATAGTTTAAATCAATGTTTAACACATCGTAATGTAATAAGCCAGCGGCTCTTGAGTCGGCTGTTAACTATGGAAGTGGTCGAGTTTATTATCGATCGTCTCAACAATTAGTATTTAGTAATAATTTTCAACTACATCGTGGCATAATTTGTTTAAGCAATATTGCCTTAAGCATTGTTCATCAGAACCACATGTAAAAAAGATCGAGATTGTTCGATGTCGAAATCTGGTTTTATCGGTGAACACATGGCTCGGTGAAAGGTGTGAAAAGCGAGCATGTAAGTAATACGCTTGAACTACAAGTTACAAACTATGTACAAGTAAGACAGCGAGATATATTTTTTGATTTTAAAATATTTTTTAGTTTGAATATTTCAACGATGCGTCTTGTAGGCCGGATCGGTGCGTGTAGGCGCGTTAAGTCGGAGCGCGGAATTGGCTGGTTGCCTTGGCGTAGGCTATTCGTCGCAGGACGTTACAACACCATCAAAAGTTTTTGTGTGACCATATTGTGAGAATATTCATATAAGAAGTATACTTCTTAAGGATTTGAATTCTACCGCGTTAGTCAAGTAGATAAGGTAGAGTACTGATAAGCGATAACACGTGATACGAGCAAGTGACTTGGAAAGTAATTATTGAGCTGAGAACAACATTATAAGTTGAAGTGTAATTGTTAAAGTAATTGTTAGTCTGTGAGAGACAAAATTATAATTAATAAACATTGAATTTTGTTTCTCATGTTTACAGGTATTGAATGAATCTTATAAATAAGTTGTAAATAGTTTTATGATATAATATAATCTCATGTTTACAGAGAAACTTTTCAGTTTATTATTTTACTAATCGTACCCCAGACCAACGTTAATCAAATAAATAACTATCATATTATAAAACAACATTCACGTTTAAAGAAAATAGAAACAATGGAAAAGTTGAAGTTTGAATTCAAAGTGAGAGGTAGTGCAGATGGGAAATCAAATGTGCTTTGCATAACCTCAATTGAAACTCCAGATGGAAGAAAGTTTATCCTGCCTGATGAAATACAATCAGCCTCATTACATACACTGATATTAAACCATGAAGTTTTCGCAAAAGTGAAAAAAAGCATAACAAAAAGAAATCAATTTAGGAAAATCTGGATAACAGTAACTGAAGAGATTAGAAAAGTATACCTAGATGAAGAGGAAAATTTACAATTCAGAGATTATTTTTTGGAAGAATCCATAATGAATACTGATATAACGAATGAGTCTACACAAACAACAAAATTGAAAAAATTAATAGAATAATCTTAATTACTTATAGCATTAAGCCGCTTCATCGGGTCGCTCGGTGACCTTAGTGGCGTGTCATCTCCCGGTGATGAAGAAACACGTGAGTGCTCGTAAAACTATGTTTTATTCCTCATATTCGTTGAATTTGCATCATTTGACACAGGTTTCATCTCGCGCGCCCGCGTGTCACGCTTTCTCCGTACGCGCCTTGCACACATACGCAAACTTACATACATATACGACCTGCTCTAACGAGTCAGCGTATGTTAGCCGAGCACACTCACACATAAATTCAAGAGACGGTTTACGCATGCCTTTGTACGGGTAGCCGCTGTATGAATATTATATTTATTTACAATAATTAGACCTACTTTATTAGTTCATAACAGGTGTATTTGTCCCCTTAACTAATATGGTGAACTATTCTCATTTTTTTTTAAGATTATGAAAGTTTTCTTAAAATAAAACTATTATCATGCTTCAATTGTTTTGCTGTATAATCCCACATTTGTTTATATTGATAGGCAGTCGAAATACCTGGAATTAAAATTTTCCACTACTGCGGAGGCTTGAATTTTGCTTCAAAAACGAAATTTCGAAGAGAATTATATAAAATAGCTGATGTTATTATAAATCAAGAGCTATCATCTGGTAAAAAAACTATCACGAACGATAATACCATCCACGAACATCAAGATTCGGAAAAGGTAAACCTTTTTTTATTAACTTATCTGAGAAACGCCTCAATTGTCAATAATAAATTAATAAAAGGAACTAACAAACATCGTAGAAATACCTAGGTGGGCTCAAATCAAAAGTTAATAACTTCTACTTTTGTAATCTATGATAAAAATAATATATTTTTATTTTTTACCGCTCGAAAAATGAACAATGCAAGAGTTCGTTAGGTATTCCTACGATGTCTGTAAGTCCCTTTTATTATTATTGACAATTGAAGCGTTTTTAATAAACAAATGAACCGATTTCAACGTTACATATATCGAATTGAAGAATTTGCAAGGACCTATTACTTTTGTCCAAAACTTCTTTTCATACAATTTACGGTTTTCAATCTGTAGCCGAAAAACCGATTTTCCTAATATTAAAGGGCCCAATTGTTTAAATTACAATCGACTCAACTGTGGCATTTATTATAACTTCATTCCTATCATCAAACTCTAACGAATCCCGGTGAGATACGCCGGCTGCGAATTTTTTCACGTTCAAAACAAATTTGACTGGACTAACAAGGAGAGCTTTTCAGGTGCGGGTCATGGATTTGCTCCAAAATTTTTTTGCGGTCTCCTGGTACCCAATACTGAAGCTCTCTGTGCTTAGTTTGATCCAATGGGCCTAAGGGCCCATTTTGTAGAGGATTTTCCACATTATAAAAAAATCTTTGTTATTTTCTATATCGAAATAGAAGTACTTAAACGAAAAAATGGGACGATCAAAAGTTTTAAAATTTTTCAAAGAATCTGCTTGAATTTTTGTAGAATTTTTGGGACCATCTACGACTCTCTTTACGAAGTCCTAAAATCTACTAAAAAAAGGGTTACATTTGGGCCTTTTGAATTAAGTGATAGATGGTCACAAAAATTCTGAAAAAATTCAAGCAGATTCTTTGAAAAATTTTAAAACTTTTGATCGTCTTATTTTTTCGTTTAAGTACTTCTATTTTGATATAGAAAATAACAAAGATTTTTTTATAATGTGGAAAATTCTCTACAAAATGGGCCCTTAGGCCCATTGGATCAAACTAAGCATAGGGAGCTTCAGTATTGGGTACCAGGAGACCGTAAAAAAATTTTGGAGCAAATCCATGACCCGCACCTGAAAAGCTCTCCCTGTAAGTTGCTTTAATTTTGAAAAATCCAATAGTTTTTTTGAAGTTCCGTTCTCATCTCTCATCTGCCAGTTAGGCGATCAAAATACAATCACTCGCTGTAAAAGGTAGCATTTTACTTGCTGTTTTGATCTAAAGTTAATGCAGCCTTTCTTTCAAATTAAACTATAAAGATTGCAAAAATACTTTTCCTAAGTCCTATTTGAAACTAATATTTATTTTAGTTCAAAATAATTTCATAAAACGCCAACTACTTAAACGACTACTTGATCAAAAAACCGATCGAATTTAATTTAACGGCCGTTTATTTTGATGGCAGAAAAGATAATACTCTCTGTCAGGTAAGAAATGGGAATAAATATAAAAAAAAATATAAGAAAAGAAGAGCATATAATCGTTTTAATTGAGCCAAGGTCAAAATATTTGAGTCATTTTGTACCTCAATAAGGTTCCGAGCAGCATATCAGTGAAGGACTTCACAATTTACTTGTTGAAAAGGAGGTGTTGAAAATTTAGAGATTATTGGTTGCGACGAAATAGCTGTAAATACTGGCTGGAAAAATGGTGTTATTTGGCGTATGGAAAAACTTATCAATAAGCCATTGCAGTGGATAATACGTTTTCTACACTTTAATGAATTGCCATTTCGGACTTTACTTATTTTTATCGATGGTGTGACAAACGCTAGACGCAAGAAGTAAAATGCTTCAAACTTCCCGCAATAAATTTCGATGCCTCTCATTGTTATAATATGATAGCTTGGTCATGTTCATACAATTCAGCAATTTATGATAGATTGATCATGGTTCATACAATTCAGCGCCAGTTCTTAAAAAATTAAGTGACGAAATTTTAACAATCCGATCATCAGACGCTGATATATTTTTGGATTGGGAATTCGAGTAATATCCGTGCCATACTGTTGCAGTGGAGAGACTCGTCAAATTAGTTACGGAGGCTTCTTCAAAAGTTTACGGACAAGAAAGTAGGAACCGGGTTATTTAAGCGACTCTACAATCAAGGGAAAATATGAAAAAATTTAACACAAAGAAGGACTTTATTTTGTAAAAATGTAAATTAAAAAAAAATCGTTAATTAATTTTACATTTTTTTTATTTGGAAAGATGATAAATTATACGCAATCGTTACAAAAAATATGAAATTGTTAAAGGTTATTGTAGTGTATGCGGAGTTCACGAGGGGCGCGAGAGCGCGGCGAGGAAGGGACTTCGTGGCGAGTGATGAGGCACTTGAACGCTGGATCCCGAATAGAAAAGACAGTAAAAGTGTTACACATTATTTGGCCTTGTCTTCCTTTAATCTCTAAGCGACGACAGTACAATTGGCGACGAGGATATATACTGTAATGGAATTTCTAAATTCAATTGAAAACCGCGGGCGCGAATAGACCCGTCAGCGCGAAGCTCGCCGTGCAGAGAGCACGACGAGCAGACGACAGCAGCGAACACGCGTGAGTAGAAGGGCCGACGAATGAGAGAGAAAGGAGTCAATCTTGACCCGTGCACCAGCGTGACTAGTCACACCGCGATCGATCGATATTTGTAATTTTGTAAATCGCGTGCAGTGAAGTGTGTGAGAACCCGCCGGAGATACTCCGAATAAATACGCGCGAACCAGACCCGGTTAACACTGCACTGCAACATACTGAGCCATCGTTGTACCAGCCGAAAAGCTACTTCCAGGCCCCGACGAACCACGCTACACCTAAGATCCTGCGAGCGAGTTCGACCAGTCATCGGCGAACAACAGCGAGTAAGCGATTATCAATTGTATTTGCGAGCGAGCGATCGGCCTCCCTTCCGACATTTTGTTTCGCGAGAATTGTAAAAGTCACTGTACAAAATTACTGAGCATTCACTTTAAATACAACGAGAATCTTTATTCATTTTTTTAAATTGTCAAACGCGAGTTCTTCCTTTTAGTCGACCTCCCTTTTCAGCCACCCGAGGTCTCGACGATCAGATGACTCACCAAGCAACGGCACACGAACGACACCACTGGACTTAAGTAACTCGTCGAGCAACGGGCTCGACGAGTAATCATTTTGTAACCCGGAATTGATAGTCTCTTTTGATTTCACGACGTGTGAGCTGGCCAGCCTTAAAACTAAGTTTGTTCCCCGTTACAATACATATGAAAAGAAAAACTACATTAAACACCAGGTAAATGTACAAACGTAGTTGTAAAAACACAATGAAATGTAGTTCTTTCGCTCAAGAGGAAAGAGGTTATAACATTAAAAAGTTCATACGAATCTGAAGGGCCATGCAGTAAGAACTATGCATAAATGCAACAAAGGGCCATGCAGCAAATAGCTGATGATACACACGATTACTAAGGGAAAAAAGATATTGCCAAACGGAAAAAGAAGCTTTTGCCTTAGTATGGGCTGTAGAACACTTCAAAACATATCTGTTTGGTAAGGTATTTGAACTGATCACTGACCATAAGCCACTAGAAGTGATTTTTGGAGAAAAATCCAAGCCATGTGCTAGAATTGAACGATGGGTTCTAAGATTACAAGCATACCAATATAAAATAATCTACAAACCAGGCAAATCAAATATTGCAGACCCTCTTTCTCGTTTGTGCAAAATAAAACAAGAGCAGCCGTTCGACAATGAAAACTATATCAATCTGATCGTAGTACAGCCGACCTGTGGCAGTATCGCTGAGCCAAATCCGACAAGAATCAAGAATAAACAAGAAGATTCTATTAATCAGAAAAGGCCTGTATGAAGAGGCCTGTATCAGTCAATTCAAAATTATAAAATATTTCAAACGGAATTGTGTTTTCAAGATGAAATACTTTTAAGAGGAAATAAAATAGTCATTCCAGAAAATCTGCGACAACAGGTCCTAAAAGCAGCTCATGAAGGTCATCCAGGTATAGTAGCCATGAAAGGGCGTCTGCGGACAAAAGTATGGTGGTCGGGAATCGATAAAGATGCAGAAAATATAGTAAAAAATTGTAAGGGTCGTACCCTAGTTTCTGCACCAGATCCTCCAAATCCAATGAAACGACGTGAACTCCCGGTTGCACCATGGGCGGATGTGTCATTAGATTTCATGGGGCCCTTACCAAGTAAATATTACATCTTTTTAGTAGTTGATTACTACTGCAGATACAAGGAGATAAAAATCATGAGAAGCACAACCACTGAAGACACAATTAAAGTTTCAAAAGAAATATTTTCCAGATTAGGTTTTCCATCAATAATCACTTCGTACAATGAACCTCAGTTCAAAAGTGATACATTCGCAGAATTTTGTAGGCAGTGTAGCATCGTTCACCTTGCTACCATTCCCTACTGGCCACAGATGAACGGTGAAGTAGAAGGCCAAAATAGGAGCGTGCTAAAAAGACTAAAAATTAGTCAAATAGAAAAAAAAGACAGGAAAGCAGATCTTATGGACTATTTAATGATGTACAATAGCACTCCTCAGGCAACTACCGGAAAAACACCGTCAGAACTGTTCTATGGACGACAATTTAGGGACAAGTTACCAACCATTTCTGATTTTGGAAAAAATTGGACGAACGATGAAGAGATGAGAAAGGTAAATTATATGGGGACCGAAAGCGACACGCTACTGACAAAGATCTACAAGTGGGAGAGCAAGTATTTGTAAAAAATATGTTCAAGACAAATAAACTGACACCGAATTTCGATCCAGTACCTCATACAGTTATGGATGTTAATAAGGAAGATGTACATTAGACCGGGTCGTTTTTGCAAAAATTTTTTGTATCACCTGGGCTCATGGCTAAGCTGAAAGTTCAAGGTTTCAGATGAAAAAAGCCGGGCTGCAGAAGTCAAAAAAGTGACCGGAACCGGTGTCGATACGCTTTTGAAGTTTAAAAACGTGCTTCGGAAATTTAGCAAAATCGCTCTGAAAATGGCAATCATATATTAGATTGCTAACATTGTTCAGAAGGTAAAATTTATGTCGACAAGACGTTTTCTTACGTATTTTTGTGTGTAGAATCGAATTCCCTAGTCAGTTTTGACCTAGGAGGACGATTTCATTGAAAAAAATGCACTTTTTCGATATCTTTATTCTGCGTAAAAAACAAAAAATCGTCTTGTAAACGTTTAAAAATGAACAGAAAAAATTTAGAAAATTTTTTGACACTGCTAAAATTTAGGATTTTTTATGACGAATCCAATGGTATAAATTAGTATACACTTTGAAATTATTTTAATGCAGAAAAATACATCTTTATCCCAAAAAACGACATTACGAAAAATTGAAAAATCGAAAAGTGTATTAGTTTCTTCCAGGAAATGGCTAAGTAGAATCAACTATGGAAAAAATTGCACAAAACTATCTGATAGGTTTTTTTCTCACCTTTCCAACGCCGGTTTCAGAAGTTAAAAATTCGCAAGATTCGCTGAGATACAGCGATTTTTGTACGATACGTTTTTTTAGCTTAAGATTCAACAATCGAAAAAGCTTGTTTTTCGATGAATGTAGTTAGCTCAGAATTATTGAGTTTTAAGCTAAAAAAACGTATCGTACAAAAATCGCTGTATCTCAGCGAATCTTGCGAATTTTTAACTTCTGAAACCGGCGTTGGAAAGGTGAGAAAAAAACCTATCAGATAGTTTTGTGCAATTTTTTCCATAGTTGATTCTACTTAGCCATTTCCTGGAAGAAACTAATACACTTTTCGATTTTTCAATTTTTCGTAATGTCGTTTTTTGGGATAAAGATGTATTTTTCTGCATTAAAATAATTTCAAAGTGTATACTAATTTATACCATTGGATTCGTCATAAAAAATCCTAAATTTTAGCAGTGTCAAAAAATTTTCTAAATTTTTTCTGTTCATTTTTAAACGTTTACAAGACGATTTTTTGTTTTTTACGCAGAATAAAGATATCGAAAAAGTGCATTTTTTTCAATGAAATCGTCCTCCTAGGTCAAAACTGACTAGGGAATTCGATTCTACACACAAAAATACGTAAGAAAACGTCTTGTCGACATAAATTTTACCTTCTGAACAATGTTAGCAATCTAATATATGATTGCCATTTTCAGAGCGATTTTGCTAAATTTCCGAAGCACGTTTTTAAACTTCAAAAGCCTATCGACACCGGTTCCGGTCACTTTTTTGACTTCTGCAGCCCGGCTTTTTTCATCTGAAACCTTGAACTTTCAGCTCAGCCATGAGCCCAGGTGATACAAAAAATTTTTGCAAAAACGACCCGGTCTAATGTACATGTGAGAATTGACACAACGGGTCAGGAATGTCGGCGAAATATTGTTCATCTAAAAAGGGTAAACGGTGTTTGGAACACAATAAAAGATGCAGCGGAGGAAGAAAAACAACCTGTGGAAAAGGACTCCATCGAGATCCAAGAAAATTAATAAGAAAATTATTAACTCTAATTATTTTATACTAATATCTTTATTGATCATTATTTTTCAAAGTCTATAATTTGAACTTATTTAGTTGTAACTTTTCTTTCACATGTTATGTGCCATTTATAATTAATTAAACAAATGTGTACAACAAATATTTAATTTAAAATAAACAAGGGATTTAGTGTATGCGGAGTCCACGAGGGGCGCGAGAGCGTGGCGAGGAAGGGACTTCGTGGCGAGTGACGAGGCACTTGAACGCGGGATCCCGAATAGAAAAGACAGTAAAAGTGTTACACATTATTTGGCCTTGCCTTCCTTTAATCCCTAAGCGACGACAGTACAGTTATAAATTTGTATCCATTTTAATTTTATAGCACTGTTTAGCATAAGTTCACATTTATGGCACGCTTTTCTGTGGCATAAGTCGCACATTCTGGCACCGATGCGTTCGCATCACACTCGCATGCGCTCGTGCGCTAACCTCACTTCACGTTACCAGAAGTGCGACTCATGAATCGGAAAAGGGGGCATAAATGTGAACTTTACGCAGTACTATAAGATGTTGTTCGATACTCGGGCCATAGGGGACACTTTTCGGCCCAGCTATTAGGGCCCTCGCTGCGTTTGGGCCCTAAACTACGCCGTGCCAAAAAGTGTTACTTATGGCCCTTGTATCGAAAATTACTATAAATAAATTTCAATACCAAAGTTTATTAGTTAAAAAAATATGTTTTGTTTAATTTATATTAAATTCACAATATATGATAAAATGCGTCGTTTAGGCATAAAATGTGCTTAAAAAATGGATAATTGCTATCTCGTTCAGAATTTTTTGAGACCATCTTAGGCGCTCGCCGCATGAACCTCTCGAAAAATACACTTATAACGAAGAATTTCGTTGCTCCCGAATCCAATTTAGTCAAAAAATGACTTGCTGGCAGCTAATTAAAGAAAAGAGCAAAATAAAGGAAAATTCGTGAAAAAATGGCTTAATATGCACCCGGGGGAATAGCCAAAGCAAAATTTGGATTCCTGACATATATATCGGATTCTTTAATATATTTTTTATCCCTTCGAATAGGTAAAAACAATTAGGAAGGCGATCATCAGTATATTTGCGCTAAATGCGGTAAAAAGACGGAGAATCGCGAAAAAGGGTAAAAAAACACAACATTTTCGCTGCTTAGCGTGGAAATACTCAATTGACAGGTATCAGCTTACGCTGACTTTCATTTTATGTCAAAAGAATAGCTTTGTACACTATTACGAAGCGATTTTCAAAAACATGTGTTTTTCGCTTCACTCTAATGAGGAGAGCTAATCAAACGGTTTTGAAAGGAAATTATCCAATACCAAAATTCGAGTCGATTATGGCAAAACTGCGAAGGACGAAATATTTTTCCACAATAGATCTAACTGATGCCTACCATCAAATGGAACTAGAAGAAGATAGTCCTTATATAACTACATTTATGACGGGTTTTTATATATGAGGGTATTTATAGATACAAGAGATTGAAGTTCGGAGTAAATTCAGCAGTAGAAATCTTCCAAAATAACCTAGAAATTAACTTAATGCCATGCAAAAATTCCTTCAACCTCCTCGACGATATCATTGTCTTTGGATCGGAAATGGAAAAGCACGATGTTTGTCTGATGAAAGTGTTGTCAGTTTTGGATGACAAAAATATATCCCGGAATGCCACAAAATACAAGTATAGAGTTAAAGAGTTATCTTTTCTTGGCCACATATTGTCTGATCAAGGAATAGACGTTGACAGGGTCTTATCACGTATTTTGGGAAACTTTCAGTAAACTTGGGCACGGAAACGAATTTTCTGCGGTCGTCACTTAAAAGCGAGTCAAAATTCCATTGGGATAAAGATCAAGAAGAATGTTTCCGTAAATTAAAAGGGAGCCCGGCACATTTGCCAACTTTATCTTACTTCGATCCGAAAAGGCGTACACGTCTAATGGCTAACGTCAATCCAGTAGCTTTACGAGCTGTGCTTTTGTAATTTGACATTGATAACAATTCCCAAATAATATCTTTTACTAGCAAAAGATTGTCAGATACAGAAAAACGTTACTCCAATACTGAAAAAGAATAGTACGCTACGTATCTCACGCTACGCAGCGTGAGATATACATATAGGCAACCCGTCGAGCAATGAACATTGACCACATGACTATATAGATACGCACGGATCTCAATGCGGACAGAGTGTATAGTACGAGCAGAGCTACATGCACAACCCCGAGCGGATTATACATTTAGCACGCTTGTAGCGAAATCAGCCTCAAACAGGCGCGTATGGTGAAAAGATATATATGAAGGTAAGAGCAGATTGGCGTATGTCTGTTCTATGTATGCGTGTGTGCGAGCAATACTCCACGGAGCTGTTTTAGGAGGATTTCGAGCAAATAAGCGTTCCTGAATACTCACGTCCTTACGTGTTATTATGTACATATTTTGTACTTAAAGATCATTGGAGCTTGGCGAGATGTTTACGAGTACACGCTAGCCAGAGATACTTCGATTGAATTGTCGATGATTCCTAATCGCTTCTGTATCGACTGCTCTATATGTATAATGTATACTTATTCCTCACGTGTGTATGTGTACACACGCGAACACGGAGTCGTATATTGGCCCAATCTAAAAGAGAGGCTCACAATAATTTCGTGTAAGCTTATCAAAGCATTAGTTCGAATTTACATATTCGCGTTTATATCTTACTTATAGACGTTCACGATTCAACGCTCAATTCTCAGTTGCAGAATAGTATATCACGTGCCTAGGTAGCAAAAAACTGGAAAGCCTCGGAGCACGTGTAAATATCATCCGAGGCGAAGCCGAGGCTGATGAACATGTGATCTGAGGCTTTCTTTTTTGCTTCATAGGTGGGTATACTATAATTTATGAATCCTCTAGCAGAACTTAACTTTTTCGTTTTGAGCGCCTGGACGAAAAAGGTTAGTTTCGGCTGGGGTATTATGAAAAAATATTTTCGTAAGACTTTTCAGCTATTTACGTCATTCAATTCATTAATAAGTACTTACAAGTATAAGATTTTAAAGAATATTTCCACCTCGTCGTTGTGGTAATGCTTGCAAATCATGTGCAAAGGAGTTAATCCATCGTCGTTCAAGAAAATTCATATTTTCTCGTGAGCTTTGTAATGACTCTGATCATACTTTCATGGGCTCGTTAAGGTTGAGCATCCTTTTGCGCAGTCGTACAACACAAGCAATCTCTCACAAATTTCAATATTTGTTCTTTTAAAAAAATAGTATATTTCTATACCGGTGCAGTAAGGTTTTTTTGACAAAACGAGGGATTATAGTATTTCATAAGCTAGATTACTCAAGCTTCTTTGCTTTCATAGTTACTTAATAACAGCTACACTAGTTGGATCGATTAGATTATATGGATTTCTTAGATATAAATTTGTTCTCGCTACGATTAGGTGAAAACAACTCCCGGATGAGTCCACTGCTTCGCACCCTTGTTACAAAATATAAAATAATTATAATATAATATTATGGAGACGGCCGGGCAAGTAGAGTCATAAGTAAGATTTTTTACATACCTCTACTAGTGATTAATAGACCTATTACAAGCAGTAGTTACTATGAATTTTAACAATTATATTAATTAATTATTTTATTGAATCATTCTATTACAAACTTTGCATTGTCGTTATCGTTTGAGAAATGAAAATATTACTCTATGTGAGTACTTGTCTTAATATATTTGATTTCATTACTATCATAGTTAAGTAATTAATCAATGTTGGATTGAGATTGTGAGTTTCAACAATTTGAAAAGGAAAGGATTTTAAATATAGGTTTAAATCAAAATGATCAGACTGTCATACTTGCCCCTATTTATACTTTAAAAAAATATATAACAACGGTTTTGAATTATTCTATTGCAAACATTTCAGTAGGATAAAAGTTTAAAATAAAAAATTGTTAGTTTGTTCAATACTTGACGGAATTTATTTGATTTCAATAATATCATAGCCAAGAAATTGATTATCGTTTACGAGTTGAAATTACCAATTGAATAGTTTAGAAACATATGGTAGCACAAAAATATGAGGGTAAGACGGACATACTTGGTTATAAATGTTCTTTTAAAAAACAAGAGTTCATGGGATTTCGGATTATTATATTATTTATATAAGTATGCTTATAATACACGTAAAAAATTTGAAAAATACGTCTTGACGATAATAATTATTTGAAAACATCGCGACTTCCCGGAGAAAGTCATCGTCGAGTCTGGATTCTGACCTAGCTACAAAAGTGATTATAATCTAGGGCTGTGTGAGTATCCAATTTTTCGAGTTTTACTCGACTCGAACTCGAGGAAAAAACTCGAACACGACGAGTCGAGTTTTTTCGAGTCCCGCACAGCCCTATTATAATCAGACTTTTTTTGATGATGCTCCTAATAAAGGACAGCAGCTGAATGACATTGGAATGCAGAAAATCTCTTCTCCAGAAGAATGTAATTTGTCAGTTTCAGCAGTAACCGAAGAATTTTGTTCAAGATTAATTAAGGCAATAGAAAGTATGTACAGTGAATTTATTTTTAATTGTGTTTAATTCAGAACAATCATTTTATTTATTTTGTAGATTTCAATAAAAAAATTTTATCCCATATTGAAAAAAAAGTTGTTTCAAGAATACTTATAATAGAAAAAGTGTTGGGTATAGCGCGGCATCACTCTTTCAGTTGCCCCTTCCCCTAATCCGTGTCTCGTTGATGTGCGGTCCGCGCGACGCCGGCCGACACGTTGCGACACGAGCGATCGTCACTCTCTGTTCTCTCGTTGCCTTGTGCACAGTCAATAGATCGATAATCCCCTAATTCTTGCCAGCGCTCGACGCCTTAAATTACTTTTGATTACACTTAAAAACTATTCTTGATTCAGTAAAAGTAAAGTTAGATCACAGTTAGAAATAATAACAAACTATTCAACCTTGATTAATAAATAAAAGTGATTATTAACATACAGAAAGTGAAGTGAGTAATTATTTCCATCTACCTACCCCTTCACAGGCAATAAAACACCTTCAGGTTATGGGCCCAGCACGCTTCCACTGCGCGACTACGGGATTGAAACCTTTATTTTGTGTTTTTTTGCTTGCTGGAAGGGCGGTTTAGTGAAAGTTAATAATCTGTTGTGTGGCAATTGTGTTCGTTGCAGCGGCAACAGTGAAACGAAGCTAGAATTGATCGGTCTTTCTTTTACAGTTGGAAAAATGGAAGGCTCCAAGTTGAGAAAGGTTTTCTCAACCACAAGAGGTAAGTCTTGTAAAAATTTCATAGAGTGCATGAAAAACGGTAGTGCGTAAAGAAAAGGCGAACATCGATATCGGCCATTTTCACATACATTCGCACAGACGACAAAACGAGTCGATGCACGATCGCGCGTTCGTTTGTTTTGAAGATCGCTCGAACGTTCAAAATTCTTGGAAAGTCACACGCGCGCGCGAGCACGAGTGCCGGTCGTTGTATAGTTGGACGATTGACCGATAGGCGGCGCCGATCGAGGTGTGTTGCGACTCGTAGTCGAGCCCACTGCCAGAATTGAAATTGTGTGTGTGCGTGTGTGTATAGGCACTGGGCCGCAACTCGCGTCGACGTATATTCACGTGTGTCCCGTGTATACTGCTGCGAGTGCGATTTGCTGTGCGTGGAGCGTGTATACGCATTCACGTCATATACGCGCTCGCGTGGTGCGTACTCTCGTACGTATCACGAGAACTGTCACGACACGTTACGTGTGTATGTGTGCAGGACGGTGTGAGTAGCTTCGTTTGCTGCGCGTGTACAATCGTGCGTTCCGAAACACGTGTACAAGCAAACGAATTATGTGAACGCTAGACGATGTGATACAACACAAAATTAATACGCGAAACGGATATGTATTTTATGAGTGTATGTGAATTGCATGTTATCGTGTGTTCCGAGACATGCAAGTGTTTTTTTTATTTAACTATATATCGTGAAATACATGAGTTTAGTTAGAATGCGTACATGATAGATGACAGCTGGATAGAGCAATGAATTAAAACTAATTATTTGGCCGTTACCATTATAGATGAGAGGACACTTCAAGTCTTCATCCTGACTTAGCTCGAAAACTTCAACATCGGCGAGGAATCAATTTCTCTGGAAATCGACGGAGAGACGGTGTTCGTCTGCACCGAGTCTGGGGCAAGACATCAGGTGTCGGAAATCTCCGACGAGACCAGACGAGTTATAGCTGCATCCATCGCTTCGACAAACTCCGATCAGCGTCAGAGTGACAACGCCGACTTGACAGAGACCAAGCATGACGAACAACAGCCAAAGGTGAACTCGGTCGACGCCGTAAATAACCCAGAGAAGTCAGGTGACAAACCTGAACCTACGGATCAGTCGAAAGAGCTGGAAGAGATGACGAACCAGCTGAATGCTAGAATTGCCGGTAAATCCACACCTCGCATCAAAGAGTCAATTACTTTAAAATGCTCGAACAGTAACGTTAAATCTAAAATCCTTGATTTCAATTCAGCGCTAGAAAAGGAAAATGAAGATGCTAGAGCTAAATTAAAAAAAAAGCACCAATGACTCGACTGTGGCCAGAGAACTTTCGCACTTCATGTATGAAAAGTTCACCGCTTTTTCGGAGCAGGTGATGCACAAGTTAGACATGCTGAATGATCGATGCAACAAGTTGGAAGGAGAGAATCCTGAAATATCGGTAAGAGATCCTGATCATTTTCAAGGTGTAAGCAGAGACATGATTTCGCAGACAATTAGAGAAGAAATGAACCGTTACAGAGACAATTCGAGCAGGCTAGATGTATCTGATAAAATACAGATTCAAGTGTCGAATGGAGAGAGCTCAAGCAAGAGAAGCTATAAATTGACCAATGAAGTCAGCTACGAAATATTTTATGATTTTCTCTCCTCTGAGCTCACTCTGTGCGACCTACTGTACGTTATTGATCCTGTAAACGGTCGAGAGAAAAATCTCTCGGAAGAACAGCTAGAAAAGGATAAAATTAGGGTAAGAGATTTAATCATAAACAGAATCGATATCTCTTATTACTCTAAAGTGTCGCATCTGCGAGATCCTGTCAAACTGCTAGAAAAAATAAAAGAACTAAAACTAAACGAAACGGCCATCACTCCTTCAGTCCTTCGAAAGCGCCTGTACAATATTAGATATAATCCAAGTAAGGAAAAAGCCTCGGCTTTCTGGGATAGATTTGATAATTTAGTTATGACGTTCAATAGAAGTCCAGGTGTACACGAGCTTTCTGAGGACGAAGTAAGGGATGCCTTATTCGATGCGATAGTTCATGCCATACCGCAAGTTAGAGATACGCAATGTCTGCACAAATTTTCGACTGGAAAATTATTATCGATCCCTCAATTGAAAGAATACATTACTCAACAGGAATCTGCGAAGCTAGAAAAGTTGGAAGGTCAGAAGCTCGAGGTACCGTCAGCTGCGAACGTCAAGGTCCAGTCCAGACCCGGCGAAAAAGCCTGCTATACCTGTGGCAACAAGGGTCACCTGTCCAAGGATTGTACCCGGAATGGCCCCATGTGTTATCGCTGTAGGAGATACGAAGGACATGTATCTCCCGACTGCCCCTACAGTGATGCACAGATCAGCGCCTTCAAGAAAAAAGGTAATGACTCAAAATCTGATAATAGAGGTGGTGGATTTACTAAAAATAATTACAAGAGGAAAGCTAGAAGTGACGACAAACCCCAACAGAACAAGAGAGCTAGATTTGAAAAGGCAAAAGGTGACAAGAATGATAAGCCTCAAAAATCAAACAGTAGCTCGAAATCAAGTTCGTCATCGTCCCAAGGTAAAAATACGTCAATTTTAACCAATAAACTTGCTTGTTTGTCGACAAAACTAGATGGTAGTTGTCGTAGGAGTAGTAGTGGTAGTTTGACTAGGTTCATTGCTGACTCGGGAGCTACCGAACATATGACCAATTCTAGACTGATCTTTAAATCGCTTGATACCGATGCTGACTTTAAGATCACATGCGCCAATAAAGATGAAGCCGCTTCATTCAGATCGGAGGGAGTGGGAACCGTGGCCGCGTCTCAAAGCGAGAAAAACTACATGTTGGATGAGGTCATATGCGCCAGCTCATTGTCGGAAAATTTGTTATCACTCCGACGATTTGTGGACCAGGGGATGACGATTTTTCTAGACAATGAGCGCATTGACATCTTTGACCCCCTATCGAATCAAATATTCATGTCCGGTATTTATGAAAGACCCTATTGGATAGTTGAGCTCGAAACTGACTACAAATCCCAAAACAGACTAGCTAGAAAGAATAAGATTCGCACTTATCTGTCCACGAGAAAACGCGAATACAACACTGAGCCCGTAAAAAACTACTGTTAGATCAAATTCTTCAGAGAATTCACAAAATAATACGATAGCTCGAGACGTTGAAATGATTGATAATGTGGAAAAGGAATCAACTCTCAGTGGATCAGATCCAAACTTATGCGAGTACACCGAGGTTGATCGGAGTTCGATCGGCGTCGAGCCGTGCTTGACGATGCCCGACTTCGAACATACCTTGAAAGATCGAAAAATTACTGTTTTGCGAGATACCGACAGCTCAGGAAATGAGACGATTGGTGATGCTAGACAACTCAATGTTCTGTCCGAAAACAAAGCTCTTTTGTGGCATGTTAGACTAGGACACGCATCTTTGAAATATCTTGAGGAATTTCAAAAACAATTTCCCGATATTCAAGATCTTTCGAAGATAAAGTTTGATAGTGCACAGCTAGAATGTGAGGTATGTACGGTGTCAAAGTTCAACAAATTGCCATTTAAATCTGTTAGAAAACGAGCTTCAAGGCCACTTGAAACCGTACACGCTGATGTCATGGGTCCTATAAGTCCTGCCAGTCACCCAAAAAGATACCGTTTCGTTTCAGTCTTTATAGATGATTTTTCTCGGCTAGCCATTGCATACCCTATGAAAAACAAATCTGATTCGAGCGAATGCCTCGACTCATTTATAATCAGTGCTAGAAACTTGTTAGGACGCGACGAGAAATTTTGCTACCTTAGGTGTGACCAAGGTACTGAATTTACGGGAAATAAAACTCGTTCAGTCTTAGCAAAATATGGAGCTGAACTCCAATTGGCCTGTCCTAACACACCAGAGCATAACGGCACTGCCGAACGTTTCAATCAAACTATTCAACGTAAAGTCAGATCGTTTATGTTTGATTCATGCCTTCCGGCAAATATGTGGGACCTAGCATTAAATGCTGCAACATTTGTTTACAATAGGACCCCTCACAGCTCGAATGAAATGATTGCACCTTTACTAAAATTCAGTCCTGACTGTAAGCTAAACCTCAATCAGATCAAAAGATTTGGCTGCTTGGCTTACATGAAAGTCCAAAGGCATCAAGGTACTAAGTTTTCCCCGATAGGCAAGCGAGTAATTTTTGTTGGATACACTCCTACTGGGTATATACTGTACAGACCGGAGGAAGGAAAATACTATGAAAGTCGAGATGTTAGATTCAATGAAAAGCTAGTGTATGGTGATAAATACGATAACAAGGAAGTGCTTGATTGGAGAAACCCTATGTTGGATATTAATAAAGACAGCTGGTTTGTAAAGTTTGACAAGATAAATGATGAGCTGACTGAAACGGAGGGAGAGAAGCAACTTGCAGGTTGTCCTCCCGAGATCCTCTCGACGATGCATAATGATTTGCTAGAGACAGACACTGATCCAACAGAATTCAAAGGAAATTGGTCGGAAAGTGATAACGTTCGAGCACTTGTCACGAAAATTCTAAAAGAACCAGCGTCTTTTAGAGAAGCTATGTCGTCCAAAGAACGTGCACATTGGCTAGAAGCAATTGAGTCGGAACTTGATGCAATGAATGAAAATCAAGTCTGGAAAATGAAATGAAATCAAGTCTGGACAATAGTAGATCGACCAGTAAGCTCGAAAGGAAAACGACCCAACATTATTGACTCCAGGTGGGTGCTCAAACGTAAACTCGGAGTAAATGGGGAAATAAAGCACAAAGCTCGACTCGTATGCAGAGGTTTCAAAGATCAAAATGATTATGAGCTTGATGAAACATATGCTCCGGTGTCTCGTATGCAAATCATTCGAGCTACATTCGCTATTATCAATAAGTTAGACTTGGAAGTCTGTCAGATAGATGTGAAAACCGCAGTTTTAAATGGCACGCTAGAAAGTGAAGTTTTCATGGAAATTCCCGAGGGTATAAATTGCTCTGATGAAGTTAGAAAGAATAAAATTTGTAAGCTGGAGCGAGCACTTTACGGTTTGAAAGTTAGCCTGAAAAGATGGAATGAAAAATTTACACAAGTAGCGAGGAAACTCGGCCTGACTACCCACGCCAGTGAACCCTGTCTCTTTACTTGGAGAGAAAACAAGAAATTCCTGTTATTGCTACTGTATGTAGACGATATGCTTATAGCGAGCAATGACAGTGAGAAAATGCATGCAACTAAAACCTCTTTAATGTTAGAATTTAAAATGACCGATTTAGGCGCTCCTCGAACCTTCCTTGGGATAGAAATTACTAGAGATCGTAAAAATCGCACGTTATCGCTTACGCTAGAAGATTATATTATCAAACTGCTACATAGGTTCGGCTACAGTGAAATGCATACCCAGCAAACCCCAATGATTACGAATCAAGTTGCTAACCGAGAGAGAAAAGCTCGAGAGGAAGGACATAAAGAGTTGCGAGAAGTGAACAGTGAAAATTGCTCATATCGTGCTCTTGTCGGTTCATTACTTTATCTAGCTGGAACCGTTCGTCCTGATATCTCGTATGCAGTAAATGTTTTGAGCCGACATCAAACAAATCTTACAGATGTTGAATGGAAGGCAGCCCATACGAAAAATGTTGGACTGATATTCACAGGAAAGCTCGATTCGCTAGAAGGTTACTCAGATGCAAGCTTTGCTGATTGCAAGGATTCTCTGACTACAAGCGGATATGTCGTCAAACTGTTTGGCGACGCAATATCGTGAAAAACCAAGAAATTGCCCTTCGTATCACTGTCTACTTGTGAGGCTGAGTATGTAGCAATGAGTCTTGCATGTCAAGAATTGATAGGACTGCATCAATCGATAGAACTTATGTTAGAACGTAAATTTACCCCGATGGTGTTGCATTGCGATAATAAAGCTGCCGAGGCCAGCGCTCTGGTAGGATGTAGAAATAAACTTAGACATGTAGTGGAAATTAGATACCATTATGTTAGAGAGTGCGTTTCCAAAGAATTAGTTAAAATAAGCTGGATATGCTCGAAAGATCAGTTAGCTGATATTTTTACCAAACCGCTATCTCTCAAGCTACACAATAAGTTAGCTGAGGAGATTTTGAATTTTAAGTTAGAATAATTTTTCTTGTCTGTTTCAGGAACCAACTGATAGAAGGGATGATACCACGGGAGGGAGTGTTGGGTATAGCGCGGCATCACTCTTTCAGTTGCCCCTTCCCCTACTCCGTGTCTCGTCGATGTGCGGTCCAGCGCGACGCCGGCCGACACGTTGCGACACGAG